AATCAATAAAAATATATTTTTTTAAAAAAACAAGTAGCCCTAGCCAGTTTGGCTCACTGGATAGAGCGTCGGCCTGTGGACTGAAGGGTCCCATGTTCGATTCTGGTCAAGGGCATGTACCTTGGTTGCAGGCACATCCCCAGTGGGGGGTGTGCGGGAGGCAGCTGATCGATGCTTCTCTCTCATCGATGTTTCTAACTCTCTATCCCTCTCCCTTCCTTTCTGTAAAAAAGCAATAAAATATATTTAAACACACACACACACACACACACACACACACACACACACACCAAGTAAATGTTCTTAGCTTCAAAGTAGTGATCTTAGAGGCTGCAACTTTTCCTAATAGTGCTGCCAAGGCTCAAGACAGGTGTGGAAACCTTTCTGGTGTTATATCCACGTGCCTCAGTTTACATGCACCAGGGCATCTGCACCGTGTATAACTGTAGCGCACAAATGGGCACCAATTGAATCCCAACAGCAAACTGTTCCAGGTAGACCAGATGTCTTAAAGGGAGACTCTCTTTCTCTACAAGTAAACACGATGTCTATTTCCTGTCACTTTCACTGTGGAATAACTACTTAATATTTGGATACTTCTAGTTTAGCTACAGGTGTTCTCATTTCCATGTTATAGGTGGGGAAACTGAGTCTCATAAGTGAAAGGATTTGCCCTGGAGCTGATGCCTTTGAGTCTCCTGTGCAGGAATATATTCAACAGTGTTTGAAAGCGTGTTTGGCTTTTCGAAATGACCAAATGTCACTTGGATTCACGGAAAGCTCATTAAACAGCTTTTTAAGACCGAGGAATCCAGTTTCCAATGCATAAATCTCTACAAGGTCTACAAGGGGCCTTAGAAAAGCTCCAGACTGAAGATGAAACGTGAGAAAATCATGGATGTGCTCAGATGCCTCTCCCTGGTTTTTGTTTGTTTTAGGCAGATCGGTTTCATGCTGGACAGAGAAACCTCTCCCCACCTCTGCTGCACACACCTGGCTCGGAGAGGGACAGAGCTGAGAAACCAGCTCTCAAATCCTTGCCTGTCTGCCCAGGGGGGCCTGAAGGTGTAAACTGGATGTGTGAGCATGTTTCAGGGGAACAGATTCATTCTTTCTTTTTGTAAAAAATAAAGCTGGCTCCTTTTTTTAATTAAAATATATTTTTAGCCCTAACCGGTTTGGCTCAGTGGATAGAGCGTTGGCCTGCGGACTGGAGGGTTCCAGATTCGATTCCAGTCAAGGGCATGTACCTTGGTTGCGGGCACATCCCCAGTGGTGGTGGTGGTGGTGGGGGGGTGTGTGTGTGCAGGAGGCAACTGATCGGTGGTTCTCTCTCATCAATGTTTCTAACTCTCTATCCCTCTCCCTTCCTCTCTGTAAAAAATCAATAAAATATATAAAATTTATATATATATATATATTGTTTTTAGAGAGGAAAAGAGAGAGAAACATCAATGATGAGAGAGAATCATTGATCAGCTGCCTCCTGCATGCCCCAAACTGGGGACCACGCCCACAACCAGGGCATGTGCCCTGACCAGGAATCCAACTGTGATCTCCTGGTTCAGAGGTCGACGCTCAACCACTGAGCCATGCCTGCCAGGCAGATTATCCTACCTTAATACAATACAAAGGAGGAGGGTGAGAATCTCTTTGCTTTAGAAAAAGATACCAATCAATTAGAAAACATACTCGATAATCAGTAGATCACAGGAGTATGAAGACGACCTGGAGAAGCGAGTGGTTTTCCCCGTTGGCTCTTAGGCTGTGGAATGTGAGCAAACTGTTCCAGGTAGACCAGATGTCTTAAAGGGAGACTCTCTCTACAAGTAAACATGATGTCTATTTCCTGTCACTTTCACTGTTGAATAACTACTTAGTATCTAGGACAATTCTTAATAATAGGGTTATCTTTTTAAAAAGGGCAACCCAACTGTTCTGTTCTTCGAAGGAAGCCCTTTTTTCGAATACTTTCTTCAAAGGCATTGCTTTAGCCCAGGGGTGGGCAAACTTTTTGACTCGAGGGTCACAATGGGTTCTTAAACTGGACAAGAGGGCCGGAACAAAAGCATGGATGGAGTGTTTGTGTGAACTAATATAAATTCAAAGTAAACATCATTACATAAAAGGGTACGGTCTTTTTTTTCAATAGTTTTATTCATTTCAAACTGGCCAGATCCAGCGGGCCTTAGTTTGCCCACTATCCCTTTCCTGATCAGGAGCTGGGCTTGTGCTGCCTGATGTTGACTAAGAAATGAAGGAATGTGTGAAAGGCCCCAGGGGAATAATCAAGGCTATGAGAGCACCTTCCTTGCCATCATTAGCAACCCGAAGGAGGCGGGAGCATGCTGGGATGGATGGAGGAGTGAGTGGTGGGGAGATGGACAACATCAGCCATGAAGTCAGAGAGGGAACAGTACCCACTGGTGATGCTTGGCCAGCATTGGTTTGGCTGTGAATCTGAGCATAACATTAATTCATTCAACAAATGTTTATTAAGTGACTTCTACATCCACGGAACTGTTCTAGGCAGTTGGGATCCACCAGTAAAAAAAACAAAAACCAAACAAAAGAAAACCAAAATCCTCCTGGTCTTGTGGAGCTTTTATCCCAGCAGAAGGTTCAGACCAGAAACAATAGACATAAAAATGTTGTGATGCACTATTGGCTGATAAGTGCTATGAATCAAGGGGGAAAAAAAACAAAATGGGGCTTTGAAGTCCAGAGTGTGGGGGCCCTGCAATTTTAAACTGGCCTTTCAGAGGTGGCTTTTTATAAGTGATATTTACACAAACACGTTGTAAAGGAGCTTGCCATGCAAATATGTGAGGGAAGGGCATTCCAGGATGAGGGAACAGCCTCTGCGAAGAGCCAAGGTGAGAGGATAGTTGTAGCGTTTGAAGAACAGCAAGGAGTCCAGTGTGGCCAGGGCTTTGGTGGTGAGGTCCAGGGGGGAGAGTAACAGATGAGGTCAGGGAGACCAAGGGCCAGGCATCTAGGGCCTTGTTGGCCATGGGAGGAGGAGGAGGTCAGGTTCAGGTTCAAAGAGAATGGAGAGCTTGTGCAGAGTTTGGATAGGACAAGGAACTGTATCTGACCCGTGTTTAAAATGCATCTCTTTATCTAGCCCATCGAGAATAGACTGTGGCATAAAAAGAAAAGAATGTTCTTTTTTAACCATGTTGCCTTACTTTATATGACAGGGTTGCTATGAGACTCAAATGCAAAGTGCTTGAAAACAAAGGCGCAGTGCAGACCCAACTATAATTATTTTTCCACCAACGACAGGGGGTTCAAAAGCCAAGGTCCCTCTCGCCCCGTGTAATCATGAGTTCGTGCAATTGAACTCGTCTGTCTTTAAGAAGCTAAAGGAAAATGGATTCTGTTGATTTTTCAAATAATGCCATCTGAATGCCCGAGTTTCAAATCATTTAGATTTTTCGGATGGCCACCGATTTTATGTTTCATTGTTGACAGAAATGCCCTTAAAAAAAAGTGGCAGTGGTGGGCTGGAATACCGAAGACTTGAAATGCAGCGGCGGATCAGGATCCGGAGCAGGAGTCTGAGAACTTTCAACCCATTTCCTTTTCCCCCATCCCTCTGAGAGCCAGCAGCGCACAGGCCAGATCCTCCAACATTTCGGGGGCGGCATCCCCGCGGGGCCTGGCTGCTGGAGGTGGGGGGGCCGAACACACACTTTGTGCGGCCATCTGACCTTCAGGGAGTCTGGGGAGAGGTTTGCAAGGATTTTGGACAAGAGGCCTTGAGACTCCAAGAGAAAGAACAAGAAAAAGGGGCCGGAGAAGCCTGCGCCGGGGGAGACAGGCTGAGTTCGCGAAGAGGGGTGATTATCCGAGATAATTATGTAAAGGACGAGGCGAGGAGTTCTCCATGGCTGCAACTTGGAGTTTACTCTGCCTGAGGTGAGTATTTCTGGTCTGGTTTTGTTTTGGGAGCAAGGGTTTGTTTTTCCCCTTCCTCACCCGCTGATGGATTTGAGAAAGCCGCCGGCGCTGCCTGCCAGCTCCCCATGTCATCCCTTCTCCTTCCCATCCCCAACCCCGTGCCAATTCGCCGCCGTGCCAGTGGCTCCCAGGACCCCCGTCTCTGTACCCCTCTAGTAAGAAGCAGCTGTGTGTGCCCCCCCACACCCGCCGATGCCTCCCCATCTTATTTTCTCATTTCTCCGACGCTCCCCGGCGCTGCGGTCCAAAGGCACCCATTCCCGGCCAGCCCAGCTGGCACGTCTCGCTCCGGCGGTTCTGGGGGGACGGTGGGAACTCCACGCTCTCCCATTCGAGCCCACGGCGCCGGGCATCTCCCTCCACGTCCCCCCGACCGGCCACCCAGCCCCGGCCCGCCCTGCCCGTTCCGATCGCTAGTTCTGTTGCTGAAAACCGGCTAAGGCTTCGCGCCACCCGCGGTCGCTCGCTCGCTGGCTCTCTCCTTGGCTTTGGGGAGGGTGGGGGTGCCCGCGACCGCGAGATCCCCTCTCCGATCGGGAGGCGCCCACCGCGGGCGGCAGGAGAGCCACAGCCCGTCACCCCCTCCGCGGGGCTGGGGGCGGGGAGCGGAGCCGGGCGGCAGCTGCAGTGCCGGGAGGGGTGCGCCTGTGTGCGCCCGGCTGGGTGGCCGGCTCCCGGCTCAGGCTGCGCTCCTCAGCGCGCGGGGCAGCCGGGCCGGCCGGCGGGCGGGGGAGCAGGCACAGCGCCCCTCTCGGCCCCGGCCTGGCTAGACGTCGAGCGATCCACCCTCCCCCCCTCCCCGCCTCTCCCCCCACCCCGGCTGGGGCGCTCGCCGCCCTCCCGCCCCTCTCCCAATTGAGTTGGCCCTGCGCGGGCGCCCATCCGCGGTCCTGCTCGGGGCTGCACACGCCGCTCGCGGCCGGAGGGGGGTAGCAGCCACCGCCTCCAGGTGCAGCCTCGCCCGGCCGCCGCCACCCCCCGCCCCCCGCCGCCGACGCCGCTCCAGCCCCGGGGCGCGCCGAGGTCCCGCCGGCCATGGGGCTGCGGAGGCTGCGGGTGCGGGCCTGAGACGGGGCGTCGGAGCCGCGGCGCTCGGGGTCCCCGGCCGCCTGCATGGATGTCTTCAGCTTCGTGAAGATCGCCAAGCTCTCGAGGTAGGGGCTGCGCCGGGTCCTCCGCCTCCGCGGGCCACTTGGTGCTCTCTTAGCCGGGGGTGGGGGGGGGGGCGGTAGGGGGAGCAAAAGCTGGGGAGAGCAGCGGGGCTGGGGGTCGGACCCCAACCAGGTGGCCGGGGGCTGCTGCGTCCAACTTCATGCCGACCGGCGGCTGGGGCTGCTGGGGCCGCGGGTGCGGACCGCACACAGAGACACGCACGCCCCGGAGCACCCCGCAGCAGTATGTGTGCCCCCCGGAGAGCCCGTGGCGCTGGGGGTCCGGGGCTGCTCCGGGGCGAAGAGAAGGTGGTTGGGTTGTCATCGCTGCTGCCAGGCACAGCCAGGAGTCCCTCGGGCTTGGGTCTTGCCAGGCAGCGGGGGACCCCAAGTGGCCCCTTCCCCTAGCACGAAATCAGACCCCCCCACCCCCCCCAGCGAACTCAGCTGGCGGGTTGACCAGCTGTCCCCTGCAGTGACCGACATGCTGAAGTCAAGGAGATAGCAGACAAAGACCTTTTAGCCTTTCTTGGGGTCACGGTGGAGTCCGAAGCCTTGAAAGATGGCGAGATGTGCTTCTATGTTGTTGAAACGCAAGAAGAGTCGGCACTTGGGGCAGATGTCTCTGGCGGGGCTAGAGGGAGGAGACGTGTCTACATTTCGGCCACCTCGTGTGACAGGGGCAGAGCTGTCTTCTGCCCCGCTTAGCTTCCGAAGTCGGGCTTCCTTGAAACTCAGGATGGGGGGGTCTGTGCTTGTATGGTGCTCACCAGGTGGGACGAGGCTGACAGTCCTAGAAGACCCTGCCCACCTTCTGTGCCCAGGTGCCCCCAGGCGCTGGCCTTCGCCCCTGGGACTCTGTAGCAGTCCCGGCCGCAGCCTCAGGATCGAGGCCGCAGGGGTTTCCTAGGGCCGGGCTTAGACTTGCTTGCAGGGAAAGGATAACTTGAGGTTTCCTCCCCTTCCTTGGTGGTCACTGCATCAGGCGAGAATGAGCAGGCTCAGCTAGCCCGAGTGAGAAATGCATGTTCACTTGCCTCACTAATGACCCTTGGGCCTTCTCGGAAACATTCCGCTCGCTCGCTGCCACTCACAGGTGCCTGGCCCCGACGTCCACAGGTCTTTATGGATTCTTGCCCGTCTCCGCCTTCCCTCTCTGCTCACAGGGGTCAGACGGTCTTCCTGTCACAAGGGGAAGGGCCCTGGTGTAAGTTAGCCTGGGGGGAGGCGAGGTATACACTTGGTGTGGAAACAGTGGGTCTTGGAGCAGCCCATGAGGAGCTGTTGCCCTGCAGATCAGAAGACACGCATGTCCAGGCCATGTCACAGGGGCCCGTGGCTTCCCACCTCTGTTCACTTTGTGCATGCCGCTGCCCACTTCTCCTGGATAAGCAGCTGTCAGCTCGTGGGCCAGGGGAGCCACAGTTTAGCGGTTGCCCGGTGCCATCAGTGTGACAGACAGGGCTGCCGTGGAAGGAGAAGTCCAACCAATAGTATATTGCAAAGTAATCAAGTTCGAGTTCGGTGGCCCCCACGGACAAACACACTAAGATGCACAAAACATCCGGAGCCTAGATCCAGTCCTTAAACTCTGGAGCCTGGGAGAGGGCATGGCTGTGTGTCGGTGCCCAGCTGCTTCCGACTCGTTTTACTGACTCTGAGTTTTTGCAAAACCCCAGCCAGGCTGTCGGTTTCCTTAAAGAGAGGTTGAAATTTAGTAAATGAGTGTGAATGTCGCTTTCTGTCCTTAACCGGGCTGCGAGGGAGTGTTGATTCTAAAGCGAGACACGCTGCTCAGGCTCCGAGCTCCTGTGCCCTGGAAGGAATCGTCCTGCCATAAGTGTATTCCTTTCAATGGGCCCCGAGCTGAACTAGAGGGTCACCAGCATGCAGGAACACATGTGGCAGCTGCTGGCTCCAGCCCTTGACCGCATAGCCTTGTGTGTGAGTTTTAAACGCTGTTGCAGAAATGAAGTTCTTTTCTCAAAGGTGAAGTAGGAAAGTGCTTACACGGCCAGATTTTCCTGATTTCAGAATGGATAATCTTTCTAAAGGATTTAGCTTTGATCCACGTCGTTACTGGAGTGTTTAAAATTCCCTGGGCTTAGAGATGAGCGCACATAGCTCTCCCAGGCCCTAACCTTGCCTGTGAGTCCCCAGAACTTGAGTTTCTAAGTGTTAATTCAGACAGCGTTTGCTGTAGAAAGCATACCTGGTATTTGCTAAATGTCCTGTCTGTGAGGAAAGAGGGTGGTAATGGCAGAGAATTGCAAGAACATATTAATCCACACTGGAAGGAATAAGCCGCATATTCTAACTTTTAAAAGGATCTACATTTGACCACGGATTCCCAGAATTGATGCCCTTTGAATCGTGGGAAAATTTGGAATTCAGATCCCCCCTCAAGAACCCAGTCCTGACTGATGAGCCTCATTTTAAAAAATGCTGCCAAACATTGGGACCCTGTTACATCATCTTCTTGTGTTGTGACCCTTGAGTGCATTCATCGTGGGTGGCGCAATGTGTCAGGAATCTATCGGGAGATGTTTATTTCTTGTTCTTTTAATCTTCTTATTCAACTGCTTGATAGTTTACATGTCATCTTACTGCATTGTTTCCTTGGTAACAGTTATATATCACTTGCCATCCTTGTAGATGAGAGCATCACAGATGATTGGTTTATCAACCCCTAATAGTATTCAAATAGGCAGATATGTTGATTGGGACTGTTCTTTGTATCGACTATTTTGTTTGTCAAGCAGATGCAGGCTTTGAAGTGTTTATAGAAGCCTCCAACTTGGTGGAAAGACATATGATTATGCCCCTTCGCCGAAGGGAAGTGATGTGCAACCCAAAACTCCTGGGGTGTTATTAAACTTAGCAGTGTGCCTGCGGATCGAATAGCAGGATTTCATTTCTTTTCTTGAAGCAAAAAGCCAAACACTTCTAGATGACGGGCTCCCAATTATTAACATGAAGATCACTTCTTGCAGTAATAGGTAGATTTGGGACTTGCTTTACTAGTACATTACCCCGCCTTGTAGTTTTATGGGTTATTCTGTGGTGTATAGCAGTCGGCTAACATCTGTAATAACAAAGTGCTAATTTAGTTACAAGTATCCTGCATTTGCGGAGGAATAAAATGATATCTGTATTTATTATATTAGTTTCCTCAAATCTGTATGTAAAATCTATTCAGAGACCACAAAACTATGTTTTTACCTTTAGCTTGTTCAGAATTCCATATTTCCCAGGCACAGGGCAAGTTCAAGAAGCAGCGCGCAAGGTCAGACTTGCCCATCTCCCCTTTTACCCGAGTCATTGCCTTCGCCTCACTGATGGCAGTGGGCTCTGGAGACAGGCAGTGCGAACTCCCTGAGACTCTGCATTTGAATTTCAGGAACCATGCTACTGGCTCATCCGGAGCCCTTTCTGAATCCCGCTGATTTTCCTGGCTGTCAGGAGGGGAAATGATGAACACTTTCATAACAGAACCAAATTTCTGTTTTAGGAATATTTAACTCTACTTGCCCGGGATGGCTGGTTTCAGCTGTGCGAGTCTAGTCGCTAGCAGTTTCAGGGGCGAGATTTCTTACACAGGCTCTGTACCATTTAAGCACCTCTCCCACTTTCTCTCTGTGTCTCTCTGTCTCTGTGTCTCTCTATCTCTTTCTCTGTCTCTCTCAAGTGAATTTCAACTTCTTGCTCTCAGCATTGATAGAGATTTCAGCTGCAGTGAAACTGACTTATACTTTAAAAGCATAACCTGGAAATTCTAACTTTCTATTTATGGATCTTCCAGCTATTCATTCTCTCTTTATAGAGAGAGGGGGGAGGGAGGGAAGGAAAGAGAAAGAGAGAGGGAGAGGTCAACTTGATTACTTTACTATTCCATTTGGAGTTTGCCATGGAAGTTTAGCTGCGAGAAAATATACATTATTGGTGAAATAGAAAATTATCTTTAAGGAATGGACTTATAAATCACTAATTTTGCGCTAACTGGTGTGGCTCAGTGGATAGAGAGTTGGCCTGCGTACTGAAGGGTCCCAGGTTTTATTCTGGTCAAGGACACATGCCCGGGGTTGCAGGCTCGATCCCCAGTAGGGGGCATGCAAGAGGCAGCCAATCAATGATTGTCTCTCATCATTGCTGTTTCTGTCTCTCCCTCTCCCTTCCTCTCTGAAATCAATAAAAATATATTTTTTAAAAAATCACTGATTTCATACTTGGCTCAATGAGAAAATTGAGAGCAACTCTTGACTTGTTGAGAAATACAGTCCTGAAATCTACCAATCTTAGCATCAAATGATCTTGAACTTTGAAAGCTAGTCATAGAAAGGAAAGACATTTCTAAATAGGTCAAACCAGAGGTTGGCAAACTATGGCCAATGGCCCCAATCTGGCTTACTGAGCTAAGAATGGTTTAAATTTTATTTTGTGTAAATTTGTAAATGGTTCAAAAAAGTTAAAACAAATATAATATGGAATCCACAGGTCAGTGTCCATAGAGGTTTACGGGCGCATGGTACGCTCATGCCTCTGAGAGTGGTCTGTGGCTCCCTTTGCTCCATGAGAGCCAAGTTGAATGGATGCCACAGAGACCTCATGGCCCTCACAGCCTGACATGCTATCTGTTCTTTGCAGAAACAGTTTGCCGACCCCTGGGTTAAACAACGCCTTTGCCTGTTTTCTCTTCTTTACGTAATCAGCACATGTGTGTGGGCACAAGTAGAACCAAACACACAAAGATCAGCAAACCCAGACGCTAGTTAAAGTGGTAAGGACAGATTTGAATCAGTGATCTACTATCGCAGTAGGGAAAAGAGGCCATTGTGCAAGCAGCACAACGTTCATTGGTGCAGAGGTGACTAGGCATTTTAAAGGGAAAATAGAGCCCTAGCCGGTTTGGCTCAGTGGATAGAGCACCGGCCTGCAGACCAAAAGGTCCTAGGTTCGACTCTGGTTAAGGGCACATACTTCGGTTGCAGGCTCCTTCCCAGCCC